AGTTGCTGATATACGCTCTCTAATGGATAATTGTTGATGCCTTGATAGTGCCTTGTCTTTTTTTTTTTTTTTTTTTTTTTTTTTTTTTCTTTCTTTCTTTTCTTTCTTTCTTTCTTTCTTTCATTTTCTTTATATCCAGTCACTCGTTTACCTCACCTGCAGCAGGGGAGTACCTTCCTCTTTGTTCCTCCCTTTTTTCAATTCCATTCTCTTTTTTAAAAAAAAAAAAAATAAATAAATAAATAAATACACAAAATGCTTGTACCACGTCGATATCGCGGCCTCCTGATCTTCGCCGTCGTATTCGCCGTGGTGTTTATCCATTTCGTCCGTTCCCACGACTGGCAGATCGTCTTCCCGGGCGACTATCACGATCATCACCCCCATTTCCCCCCGCCACCAGTTGATCTCTTCTCGCAAAGACCTCCCTCGCTCGACTTCGTCCCCGGTCCTCCCCCAAATCACAAACAATCCCACGAAAACGCGAATCAAGTCGGTGTCAAAACGAGCGGTGACCAAAATGCGGGCCCCGGTGGTTCTGGGTTTCGTAAACAGCCACAGCAACAGAAACAGGGAAATCAGGGGAAGCAGAAGCAGGGCCTGAGTATGTTTCCGGTGAACCAACCGCCGCCTCATTGGAAGAAAGTCCCAGAGTTGTTTCCCCTCGCGCCGGAGGAGCAGATCAAGCTGCCGACGGGTGAACCGAAGTCTTTACCGAAACTACAGGCCAGTTTCGAGGTTGAGTCGGTCGAGGAGAAGGAGAAGCGGTTGGAGAAGTTGGATGAGATTCGGAAGACCTTTGAATATGCGTGGAATGGGTACAAGTCCTCCGCGATGGGGAAGGATGAGCTCAAGCCTCTGCGCGGTGGGTACAAGGATACGTTCAATGGCTGGGGAGCTACCGTGGTGGATGCGCTGGATACGCTTTGGGTGATGGGTTTGGAGGAGGAGTTTGCGCTTGCAGTTGAGCATGTCAAGAGCATTGACTTTACGACGAGTGAGAGGCCGGAGATCCCCGTTTTCGAGACGGTCATTCGTTATATGGGTGGATTGTTGGGTGCTTATGACATCTCGGGTAAGAAGTATCCCGTGCTTCTGGAAAAGGCTGTTCAGCTTGCGGAAATTGTGATGGGGGCTTTTGACACGCCTAATCGCATGCCGACTTTGTTTTACAAGTGGACGCCAGACCAGGCATCAAGAGTTCACCATGCGAGCCGTCGAGCTGTTCTGGCAGAGATTGGCTCGCTTTCAATGGAATTTACACGACTTGCGCAGTTGACCAAGGATGATAAGTACTACGACGCCATTACACGTATCACCAATGAGCTGGAAAGGGTTCAGTCTTCCAGCAAGCTTCCCGGTCTGTGGCCTACCAAGCTGGACGCCACTGGATGCGAAAAGCCTATACCTTCACCTGCTGTTGTGCGCGATATTCCGTCCCCGTCCAACTCATCGTCGTCTCCCGTGTCCACACCCAGTGCAAGACCAGTTCCAACGGATATTGAGAGCTATAAGAATTATTTCAAGCGACGCGACGAGAGTGGCCTTGCGCAAGATGCACAGCCTGCCAATTATGAACAGCTAATCAAGGAAAAGAATCCCGAGGCCCATATTGTTCCCGCAGACAGCGACTGCAAGGGTGCTCTGATAACTCAGAACTCTTACAAGGATGCTTTTGGCTTGGGGGCAGAGGCGGACTCAACGTATGAGTATCTGCCCAAGGAATACATGCTTCTGGGTGGTCTGAACGATCAATACAAATCCATGTACGAGAAAGCGATGGACGCCGCTCGCGAGCACCTTCTCTTCCAGCCCATGGTGAAACATGGCCGTGATATCCGTTTCTTGGCCACTCTCGACCTAAGGAAGCCGCTTTCAGAGCTGCAGCCCAATCGGGTACCCACTAGGTACGAAGCGACGCATTTGACCTGCTATGCTGGTGGCATGTTTGCGGTGGGTTCCAAGTTGTTTGGCATTGATGGTGATATGGACATCGCCGCTAAGCTGACGGACGGGTGTGTGTGGGCGTACGAATCTACATACACCGGCATCATGCCTGAAACCTTCCTGGTGGTACCCTGTAAGAAGGGTGAACCATGCACATGGGATGAGATCCGTTACAAGGATGCCCTGGATCCTTGGCGAGAGGAACGTTTGGTTGCGATGCAAAAGATGAAGGAGCAAGTCACCGAAGTCAGAGAATCTCAGGAGGATGCGGTCGAGGCTGATGAGCCGGTTGCCACGCCTGAAAACAATACTATTATCTATGAACGCGATGGACTCAAGCGTGATGCATCGCAGACCGCCGAAACGCCAGTACCAACAACTCCCAAGGTAAAAGCCACACGCCGGAGTCTCCTTTCATCATTACCTGGGGATCCTGCTGCCGCGCTGGCTGATGACTACGTCAAGGCCCGGATCAGGGAAGAAAGACTGCCACCTGGGATTGTCCGCATGACTGACCGACGCTATCTGCTGCGACCTGAGGCAATTGAGTCCGTCTTCATCATGTACCGTCTCACGGGCGACAATTACTGGCGTGAGAAGGGATGGAGGATGTTCGAGGGTATCGCCAAGCACACACGCACCAATTTTGCCCATTCGGCCATTGAGGATGTCACTTCGATGCAACCGGAGTTCCAGGACTCAATGGAGTCGTTCTGGCTTTCGGAGACGCTCAAGTACTTCTATCTGCTTTTTAGCGATCCGAGTGTCGTTAGTCTTGACGAATATGTCCTGTGAGTTGTCGTTATTCCAATTTGGGAGTCGCATTGCTAACTGTTTTCAGAAACACAGAAGCCCACCCATTGGAACGACCTACATAATTGCTCACGCGTACATTATTTTCTTTTGCTTTGCTTTCCGGTTCTTGTTGCATACTTATTGATACCAAGTGCTGTTTCATCCGTGTGTTTGTTGATTACCAGCGTGTACGAAGTATGAACCGTAATGCCAATCTACTCAATACTACCGTATAATATTCTATAGCATCTTATTCTAAGACCTATGTACAAGGCTGTTGAATAGTATTGTCTGGCACCGATGGATCGCCCGCAAATCCCCCGCCGCCTTTTTGACTTGGCCCACGGTCCACCATCACCGAACACCGCACTTCTGCCTGCCTCCATCCCATCAACTCCAAATCAGCACTTCTGTCTCTCCCCCATACCCGTTGTATATTCAACAATACTTTCTCCCACTCCCTGGGAGCAAAAGAGTCTCCTTGACGGGGAGGACACGAGACGAGACGGTATGAGTGCAGAGCATCACCGACAGACGCCCCGACGACGACTGCGAGCCGTGGGAAATGGACTCCGAGGTTATTTTGGAGAGTGAGCAGCAGTTTTGGGATGGTATGCATTCCTTTTCTCTTTTCTTTTTCCTCTTTGGGATTCTGTGATATTGGTGATTTGTTACTTTGACGGATGGTGCTAACTGGCTATTGCTGGCATTGACAGAACTCCAACAAATCGTTTCTACCCCTTGTGACTCGGAAGACTTGATTGACAATGTGCTACGGAGCTATTTGAGCCTGACGGTTCAGTATAAGGGTATGTCTCCTCTTTTCTTTTTGGGTGCCATGTGTTATGTGCAGCGTGGTCTCAAAATGCGGGGACTAACCTGACACCGGACAGATGAATATCTCAATTCCGAACTAGACATCTCGCGCTGCTCGTTCAAACTATTCTCATCGACTCTTTACGCCGCTCATGGAGATTATGTCCGGAGACAGTTGTTATATGGTTTATTGCAGGTATGCTGGATTACCTTGCGACTCGCGCACTTGCAAACGTTGACGGTTCTGTTCCAATCAAATAGGAAGACGACCTCAAAACGCTACACCTCATAGCCTCCTTCCTCCTCTTCGACGGTCGCCAGAATGAAGCTACATTCAATACGATGAACGATGAGGGGGCGTTTCCGCGATTATTGGAGTTATTGCAGAAGAGGAAGAATGACGGGCATGGCCATGGCGATAACGACGAAGATGACGACGGCGGAGCTGGCCTCCATCGGATGTTGATGGATTTATTGTATGAGATGTCGAGGGTACAAAGAGTCAAGATTGGGGATTTGGTGCTTGTGGACGACGATTTCATCAAAGGGTTGTTTGAACTTATTGAGAATCTCTCTGATGATGTTAATGATCCGTATCATTATCCGGTTATTCGTGTTTTGGTATGCTTTCCTAAACGACCGAGGAGAGGGGAAGCGAGGCTAACGAAACAGTTGGTGTTGAACGAACAATTCATGATTTCGGCGCATGATCCTATTGACGAACGGTCGGGCTTTTTGACGAATAAGGTGATCAAGGTGCTTTCGATGCAGGGGAATTATTACAAGACGTTTGGGGAGAATATCATTCTGCTCATCAACAGAGAAGGTTGGCTCTTGTCTTTGAACAAATAATATGCAGGATGCTAACCTGAACAGCTGAAACATCCCTCCAGCTCCTCACTCTCAAGCTCCTATACCTCCTCTTCACCACTCCATCTACATTCGAATACTTCTACACGAATGACCTTCGTGTCCTGGTTGACATCTTAATCCGAAACCTTCTCGATCTGCCTGAGGAAGCTTCTGCTTTACGACACACCTACCTCCGCGTGCTTTACCCGTTGCTCGCTCACACTCAATTGAGATATCCACCATATTACAAACGGGACGAATTGAAGCGCATGCTTAACATCCTCATTCGTGGTCAACTCGAGACGGACGAGGAGAAGATCCAGCATTTTGAAGATGTCGACGAGACGACAAAGCGACTGGTGATGCGATGCGCAACGGTCGAGTGGCTGCGGGATGTGGAACCTGAGCCTGAATCACAAGCTGCATCTCGGGCAGGGTCCGTCTCTGCAGCCACCGGGGAGCCCTTGGAAGCATCGCAGACCACCTCATCCAGCAGCTCTGACAGGGATACTGCATCGCCAACTGGCCACCAACAAGCCCCTGGCTCACCTGACATACGCCATCATCACCGTAAACTGAGCGCGGTGAAACGACTAGGAATGCATCTTGAACCAGCTTCCTCGTCCTCCCTGAGCGTACGCGAGGTTGCATCCCAACACGAGAAACCAGGCGTCATCACACCAAGCCGAACAGACCTCCCACCAGGAACAGAATTCGTGCACCCCGGCGCAAACCCCAAACCAAAGATCAAACCCGAACCACCTAAAGCGAGACGATGGCGCGGACGACGCAATCACGAAGAAGATGAGAACGTCGACAGGATCCCGGAAGACTCACAGATACCATCGAGTCCAATTACAAGAGCCATCACCCCTACGCCGCCACCACCACCGCCAGTATCAGGGAATCGACGGAGATCAACAAGTACATCTTCTTCCCTCGCACCTCCTATTCCCGCTCACTCGCGACGCTCCGCTTCGAATCCTCCACCAGCTGTACCTCCACCGAGACGATCAGCAACCCATCCTGCTGTGCAGTCCCAGAACAGCCAGTATAATAACCAAAGTAATCTTAATAACATGGTGCAGCAAGGGAAAGGGCAGAAGCCTGAACCACCAAAGACACGTCGTTGGGGACGAAAACAGGCGCAGCAGTCAGAGCAGAGTGGTACAGGAGAACACACGGTTAGTGTTGAGGAGGCGGTACAGAACGTTTCGTTGGAGTGATACATGGTTGTCTGAAGTTTGCATTGCTTTTGCTTGTTTCTTATTGCTAAAGTACAGCATACATAGATGGATATTATACAGATATCGTATACAGTATAACATAGAACACAACAAATTCACAAACAAAGATCACCGATTAATCCCCCAAAACCTCTCCGCCCCAAACGTCCCCTCATTATCAACCTTCCACAAATCATCAAATGCCGTAAACAACACCAACCCAGCATCCCCATCGTCTTCACCCTCCCCCGGCTGCTCCCGAAACACCCTCTTCAAACTCTCCACCGCAACCCTCTGATTCTCCCCCGACGGAACAGCCTTCCCATTCGCAACCCCATCATGCGGCCACCCACTCTCCGCAATAACGGTCCTCTTCCTCCCCCCACTCCTCCCCTCCGTCCCCTCCGAAATCCTTCTCGCAACATCAACCGCATAATCCCCCGCCTTATCAGGCGTCTGCGTCGCATCGAAGAAAACATGGCAATTCACCGCGCAGTAGTCCGATGCTTCACATAGCTCCGGGTGTTCCAGGAGCATTGTGTATGTGTCGACTGTTACGACGGGGCCGTTGTAGCCTGCGGAGCGGAGGATGCTGCGTGCTTGGTGGAGGGCGGAGATTACGTCGGGGATTGTGGATTGGTGGGTTTGGACTAGTTCGTTGCCGATTGCTATGGTGTGGAAGATGGACCAGCCGTCTTCTTCACCTCCTTCCGAGGTTGTTGTGGTGTGCGAGTGTGCAACGTCGATAATTGCATCAAGCGAATGTGGGAAATCAGAGAGATCGAAGATTCCAGCGAAAACGCGGAGATTGTGTTGTTTTGCGGCTGTTGTTACGGTTGCGGTTTGGTTGCAGTCTATGCCGTAGATTCTTATGAAGCCGTAGTCACTGTCCTCGGTTTCTTCGGCGTTTTCTGGTTGTGGTAATGATGCTGAAACAAGTCTGTCGATATCGGCGTTCACTTCATCTTGGGATTTGCAGGTACTGTCTGTGTTGTAGGGAGAGTATGATATTCCGAATTTCCGTTTCTTTGGCGGAGGTTGTGGTGGTTTGCCATGGTGGCCGTGGCCATGGTGGTGGTCGTGATTGTAATGGTGGTGAGGGTGAGGGAATGGATGTAGCTCTGCCTCTACTTTGGTGGCTAGATTTGGGGCTTGGTTTTGGTCTTGGTCATCTCGTTTTTGGTGCTGGATGTTATTGTACGAGGTGCCTGTGCATTACCATAATGTTAGAATCCAAGACATGCAGCATTTGGTAGTCATTCTCTGCCGGAGGAAATACCATGAGGTGCTGCAACCGCAATTGCAAGCAGGGTGTTGATAGTGATCAAAGCTTGGGTGAGATGTCGCATGCTGATCTTGAAATTTTTTTTTTGCTTCATAGCCGGTAGCCCTAACAAAGTATACTATGCACCCGATGTACAGTGAACGGGAAATCAAAGAAATGTCAAGACCTATAGAGGAACAAGTTAGCCAGCACCTCAGCTTGAGATTAAAGAATAAAGAACAATCAACGCAAGTACAATCAACCCGAATCTCTGACAGTCCCCGCACTGCGAGTATGTAACAGACAATAAACCAACCCTACCAACAATTCCCCATCAAACCCAATCCAACACAGTAACACAATGCAATGCAACAGTTTCCAACTCCCAACAAACGGCACCAAGAATGAAGGATGCCCCACAAACCTGATCCAAAGAAAATGTTCCTTCCGCGGAATGCTCGGGGCTAATAATCTCCCAGGAATGCGTGGCCGGGAAGGAGCTCGTGGAATCTAGATGCGTTTAAATACTCCGGGCTCTGGGGTAATTTAATCAGGAATGATTGTGCATAGTGATATGATGTTTAATATCTGTGTTCCCTTGAGGGGCAAAGGGGTGTGGTACTCCTAGAACAGAATGCTGTGCCTTGGCAAGGGAGGGTTTGGGGGAGGGGATATCAAGGGAGTTGCGACATTGGTTTTCTGTTTTACCTTGTTTTGGTGTTATTTGCTACTCTTGGTACTTGATTTCTCTAATTCTTGTTAGCAGGAAATTCGAACTATGCTTTCGGCCACTAAGTATTGAAGTCAATCCGTATTAAAGATATATGAATTAAGTCTAATAATGCCCACGACGAAAGCAAGAAGAAAACAAGACCAAAACAGATGCGAAGCTGAACAAGACTCGCCAACAGAATCAAAAGAGTCGGTGTTTTAGTACAAGGCGGCCACTGTGCAAAGGGATAGCCAAACCATCCTCTTTGTGGACATTCTATACAAATAGTGTATGTAGGGTCGATAATAATAGACAGGAATTAAAGGTGAGCAAAAGTGGGCAGAAAAGAAAGAAGCAAACGCAACCTTAATGAAACCCAGGGCAAATCATGGCAACATGAATGTCATGAACAAACTCCGTTTTTGCAGTCTAAACGGTAAGACATTACTTCTTCCTGTTGACGATTTTCGTTATAGCATGGCGGATTACTGTCCCTGCCTTCTCAATTTCTTTCCGGGTGAGGCCGATGGTCACGCAAACCTTCAGGGCCGGGAGAAGGTGCTGCCTGGGTTCAAAGTTGTCATCGAGAAACTTTAGACGGGTTATGAGGACGCCATTTGCCGTGCACTAGAACAGTTAGACACCATTTAGATTACCAGGAGAAGTGATCATACCTCATCAACAACATCCTGCAACAAAAACTGTTGGTCCTCAAACGACAACCTCTTTGCGGCGACTACCTCAGGCTTAAGAGGCAGAATAATGATAGGGTTCTCCAAAGCGCTGGTGCAATAAACCCAGTCACTGCGAGGAACCAACTGTGCCCTCATAACCTTGGTTTGTTCCCGCAGTTGAGAGACGATATCGGGGTTGTTTTGTAGAAGGTTGATCGTCTCACTGGCAGTCGTGGACAAAAGGGCGGGCAGGGCGGCAGAGAATGTGTATGCGGCCGCAGAGATACGCTGGTGATGGACGATTTCCTCCGAACCAGCGCAGAAACCTCCGCCTGCGACGAGTGGGCCGGCCAGCGATCCCACAATCATATCAACCTCCGCTGCATCAACGTTCTGGTGTTCCGTCACGCCGCGGCCGGTCCGTCCAAGGACACCGAACGACCACGTCTCGTCGAGGATAAGTCGGAACTTGTACCTAAGCTTCAGCTCGATCTGCCAGGATCAGGTTAGCGAAACATCCCAAAGATAGTTCAGGGGGGAAGGGTGCCTACAATCTTGGGCAAATTCACCACATCACCGTGGGCCTCAAAAATACCTTCAGTGATAATAAACCTCCTAGTGAGCGGCTTCCTAGCCTGCTCCTTGGTAACCTTGGCCAAAACCCTCCCCAGATCCTCCATGTCATTATGTTCATACCACCGCACAATACTCCGAGAAATCTGGATACCCTTCCGAACAGCAAAGCTAACACCCTTATCCGCAACAATGATATCACCACGCTTCGAGAACGCCGGGATAACACTGGAGATGGTTGAGAACGCCTGCGCGTAGATGATACAGGCGGGAGTACCGAGATACGACGCAACATCCGCTTCAGTTTTCATGTGTACATCCTGTGTACCGTAGAATCCACGTGGACCGCAGGGACCAACACCGTAATTACGAAGAGTCTGGATAGCCTTCTCCTTGAGCGATTCGTTCGTGTTGAAGTTGTAGAAGTTGACGGATGCGAGGTTCATGACGGTGCGACCGTTCGACAACTTCGACTTGGGGCCAACGGGACTATCAGGCATTAGCACTTCCTTACTCCCTGATGACAAGACAAAAAGAGTCCTACCCAACAATAACAGTCCTCTTCTCAACCTCCATCTCCTCCAGAGGCGTGGGGTTTCCCACCAACGGCTCCGGCGTCCATTCATCCACCAGATCATCAACTTCATCGTCCGAAAGTTGAACAACACCGGGCTTCGTCGAATACTTGGGCGCAAGCAAATACCGCACAGCGAAAAGGAAAAGGAACAATTCGACCATCGACCGGACAGGGTCATCTTGATAACTCGACTTCACATAGCGGAGGAAAATGGCAGATCCGGGGAGCTGATGGAACAGGTTTGCTAGTTCATGGAGGTACTCCGAAAGGAGACGCTGGGTCTCCTGGATATCCATGACTGAAAAAGGGGCAGCGCTCGCGGCGCAACAATCGAATGGGAGTGTCAGAAGAGAGTGTGCCTGTCGCGTTTCAGAGGAGAGAAAAAAAAAAGCGATAGAAATGAACGGGATGGACGAAGGAGTCGAGGCGTACAGGACAGACGTCGGAGATTGATTCAAGGAGCGACGCGGAAGTTCGAGCGGGAAGGCACGTGACCCATGATGCATAACTTTATGAATTGAACATATCTACACGGTTCTACTAATAGAATACCCTGGTATATGATAATCGTTGCATTTGCTCTAATTCACAATAAACGAGGGAATCAGGGAAATCGAGAAAGCCGGTAATGAAAGTGAGAAACGATTGGAAAGTCTAATGAGGGAACAGAACACCGAGAATACAAACAGTAAACACAAAGATGGGCTTCATTAAAATGGACACGAAACGACACGAAGAGAATATATCAAAGGACCGCAGAGTTTACCCCTTTACTTCCATGCTTTCCGTGTTTTCCTTTTCTTGGTTCTTCTCTTTCAAAGACATTGGATACGTTATACAGCTCGTGTTGATGCTCCAGGGGCTGAAAACTCAGCAAAACGAGAAAAATGAAGAATAACGCCCTTTCATGACATTAGAATTGAAAATTTAAAAAACAAAGTACTTTAAGAACTTGCGGAACCAGAGGGAGTGGGCGCGCCAAAACCGCTGGTGATCGGCTGCATGCCAGCCGGCAGGTTGCTACCAGTGTACCCGTCGATGGTGTTGTTGTTGTGGACGTCGAGAGGTTGCAACAGACCACCACCAGCGACGCTCGACAGAGGATCAGAGTCAAGACCCAATGCGGCCTTGTACTTGCGAGCGACCAGGGGCACAACAAGCAGGACAAGGAAAAGAATGAGCATCGTGAAGTAGAGAATGGCAAAGCGGATAACTCTTCTCTTCCGGAGCTTCGACTGCTTCAGGGAGTAAATCGGAGGACGGATTTGACGACTATAAACCGAGTTAGATACTGTTCAAACTGGTGGAAAGCTAGGATAGAAACTTACCTTGGCCGCAACCAGAACAAACAGACAGAGTGGAACTTGTCCACGAAGGGAACGCAGAGAGCCGGCAACATGAGGAAAAGAAGAAGGTGACCCAGAACAAAGTCGGCAGAGAAGTAACCCAGTTCGGTGATCTTACACAAGAACTCACGGCCGGGCTGCGAGATGGAGTGCCAACCCATGCTGTACCATTTTCCGGTCCACCAGGCGATGTTGGACTGATCGTGCTTGAACTCACGAGTCAATGCCAAGCAAATGATCAGCTTGTAGATGAACCGCTGAATGGCAATCATGGCAATCATGCCGAGAACACAACGAGGCCAGGACCATCCCTCAAGGAAGAACATAACCTCGAAAATGGCAAGGAGGACGATCACAGCAATAGCGTGGGCGATGGCAGCGAGAACGGCACCAAACTTCTTGCAGCACATGCTGAAGAGAGGGCCCATACAACAGGCCATACCGAAGAAGGCACCCGACACACCAGCGTTGATAGCAATAGGACCGAATGCAACGATGGCGATACGCAAGATAGGGTCAGATTGGTTTTTCTCGTTTGTTGTCTTCTCAATACCGGTCCTGGAATTGATGTAAAAGTACGGGATAATGGTGACACCGACCAAGATCAGAGGGACGAAGATTTCGCTGTAGAAGACGTTGGAAATGCGCGCCCTTGGCACGTCACCAGCGCCTTTCTCCGATGGAACACCGAGCAGCTTACGCTTGTAACCGGTGATACGGGTACGGGATAGACGGCAGAAGCCGATCCAAGAAGACTGGTGGGTACGAGAGTTACCACGGGACAGCCAGCGCAGATAGTCACGGTAGTCGATGAAAAAGTCGTGCCAAGCGAACTGGTGAGGGTTGAACAGGAAGGGCGAGATACACAGCGCGAGCAGGGAGACCCAGAACCAAAGAAGAGATGCCGTCCAAACGGTGGATGTCGAGAACAGGAGCATCAGCAACAGACGGGCACCGGTGTAGATCGAAGGACCGGCGAAACGCGAGTACAGGACACCAAACGGAATACGCGCCGTAGCGAAACCACGACCAGTACCAATATAACGGGCACCACCGAAGGACAAGTTCTGGTGCACAGCGTTGGCGTAGATTTGACAGACAAACACTTCGAACATGAAGGAGAACGATCCAAAGTGTTTTGCCAGACGCATAGCCATACGCCAGAGACCCCTCTCCGTCAACTCCTGAACAGCCAGGGGCACGAACGAAATGAAGAAAACAATGAAAATGGAGATAACGCAACGGTTGATCCAGTCAATGACTGGAGTCAGGTTGGCACAGTAGGTCGGGCGCAGAGGATCCGTAATGGGCAGGTCAGAGTTATACTTGCAGGTAATGGTCTCGTGTCTCAACGCTCCCAAGTTGATCAAGACGATCATGAACATTTGCACCGACAACATAATGAACATGTTGTTGATGTGGAAACCAGGATGGGCGAAGTAGAACGACAGGAAACGGTCAAGGGGCAGCTGAGTACCAAGGTAGTAGTATTCTCGGGAAAGCATCTGCTCACCCATACCAGTACCAATCTTGGTGGTGAAGTTGAGAATGGAACCAAAACCAAGATCACGACCTTTACCACACTGGAAGTACTCGCAGTGCTTGATCCGACCACCCCGGAGAATAGCGTTCATACCAATGTAGATATCTTCGTTCAGGTGCAATCCCTTCTGAGCCTTGGAGACACCTCCACGAGTCGTCATGAAAACACCGTTCAGGAAATCAGGGTGACCATAGTGCAGTTTACCACCGATCTGGGCGAGAGTACGAGCGAACAAGGTACCGAACGTCTGTTCCTTTCCGGCCGCGACGTCACCAAGAACACCGACGTTCTCAGAGAAAATGTATTCACGAGCACCAAGAATGGCAACGGGGTTGGTGTTGGCCGTGGGAATACCGGGGGTGTAAGGAGAGACGTTGTCCGTGGTCAACTCTTCGAATTCGGCAAGAACGCTACGGATCTTCAAGCACTCTTCGAGATAGTTGTCTTGGTTGGCATCGATGAGCTGGATGTACTCGCCACGGTAGAAGATGATGGCATGGTTCTGGTTGTCCGACTTTCCGTCACCGAGAATGGGGTTACCAGAGAGCTGAATCCTGAACTTGGGCTTGCGCATGTTGTTCTCGAGCAGTTCACAGTGACCGTCAATCAAGGCCGAGTAGAGACGGGGCTCCTCACCCTCATTCGCCGGTGGCTCTTCATCGAGATAGGCAATTTGCAAGTCAGGGTAGGCACGGAGAAGGAATTCGGTGTTCTCACGCTCCTCCTTGTTGAACTTGGCGTAACGCTGCATGGAGACACAGATCTTGAATTTGCGGCGAGCCATTCTCTCGAGTTCACGTTCGAGCTTTTCAGAGTTGCCACCGAACATCTGAACGACCTCCGGGTTCTCCACACGGTAGAGAAGCTTGATAGCCCGGCTGTAATTCATGAAACCAGAGATGGTACGGTACAGAGTTTGCGAACGGAGAGAAGACCAGATACGGGTACGAAGAGTGTACTCAGGAGCAGCCGACTTGAAACCGATACAGTAGAAGGGCAGATCGTCGATCTTGCTCTTGGCCACATCCTTTTCGTTCTTCTCGGGTTCGCCGTTGAACTGGGAAGTCTCGTCGGCCAAGATCTTGGTGTCCTTGACGAAGCAATCCCACTCGTGAGGGTGCAACTGCTTCAGGTATTCCAGCAGGGTGACACGAGAGTAAGGCTCATCCTCACGAATGATCTCACGAAGGGACAACAAAATCTTTTCGCTGTAGTGAGGGATCAGGACGGTGAACGTGGGCATGTTGTCAACCGGCAAGGGCTCGGGCATGGGAGTGGAGAGAGACTGGGCGAAGAAAGAGATACGACGCTCAGCCTCACTGCCGGCCGGGAAGAACTCCGTCTTGAATGACTGGTCTTCCTGGGAAACGAAGAAGGTAGGGGCACGGAGGGTCCGCTTGCCTTCCTGTTCGGAGGGCACCTGGTGGTACAGGAGCTTCTGGACATGGTCAATGGCCAACAGGTGCTCACGGTACATGGAGATGATTATGGCGTTCCAAACTTGCGAGATCAAGACCTTTGGCTTGTACTTGATCTCCATGTCGGTTGTGGCGAGAACCTTGGAGTAGATACGTTTTGGCAGACGGGAGAAGATGTTTCTCCAAGGCGACCAGATCGAGACACCAAGGTAGAACGACCGGGCGACCGAGAAAACCGTGTTACAGATAACGTACCAGAGGTAACTGTCCAGGAAGAAAAGCGTCAGATCCATGAAGAACATGAGACCGAGCAAGATCTGAGGCTGCTTGTAGCACAGGACATCTCCGACGTATTTAATACCAATACACTTCTTCAGAGCCATGGGCGACAGAATCCGAATTGGGTCCTTGAACGACAGCGTCAAGAAGAAGTACGATTCCGACAACTTGGCGCCAAAGACACAAATCCAGAGACCGTAGGACATCCACATGTCGTTTCCTTGGAGACGCGGGAAACTGGCAGTGAACGTCTGGCTGGCAACATACTGACGGCCGTGCTTCTTCATATAATTACCGAAGAGCGCGCCCAGAGGCATGACGGCGAAGAAGACGAACGTAGCCAAAGCGACAAAGAAGTGAACGATACCAATGATCAGGGGAATTGGGTCCTTGACCTGGTTACCCCAACCGAAGACGAAGACACCGGGAGCCAGGTTAATGATGAGCATGCCGAGAAGGAACATCAGACGCTTGCTCAGGTGCTGCGCACCAGCCCATCGGCGTGGAACGTAGAGCCATTCGCAGATCGTAGCCATAACCTGAATGAAGGAAACCAGAGCACCGCCAAATCCGACTGCAGACCAGTAGTAGGCACCAGGGGGCTTGTTGTCCAATTGTTGCTGGTAGTTCTTGGTGTAGATGGTCGGAGCGTTGTAGGCCGTGAAGAACCAGAAACATCCCAGATGGATAACCCAGATACGGTTGAAATTGGTCACCATGTGGAACCACGAACGAGTCTCCTTGTAAGTCTTGAAGAATGCCTTGTTCCAGTTGACATCCTTCAGTTTGGTCCATCGCTCGCCAATAGGGATGTCCACCAGGCGGGTCTTGTCCTCGAGCTTGATCCGCTCGATACCTTCGGGGTACCAGAAGAGCTGGTTCATGTCATCGTAACCAATGACCTTGTTGTGATCACGTTCCCGACGGACGTACTTGCCGTCCACGATCTCATAACACTGGTCGCGGCAGTACTGGTACAGGGGAGTGACCACCTCATTGAGGTAGGTAAATTCCTCAACAGGCTCCACGCGGTTCTGGCATTCAGGGGTTTGGTAGTAGTCGTCGGCGCACTTGAAGATGAAGCAGAGACACTCCGGCAGGAACCGAACCTGGTTAGCTTCACCCCAGCACATCAGATACAGAGCCAGCTGACGGACCCGGTCGTGCTGTGACATGCGGTTCATGCGAGTCTTCCATCTGTACTCAGCCGCTTCCAAGCTGTTGTCACCCTCCAAAGCCTCGAGAGTCTCGTCAACGTTTTCGGGGTTCTCCTGCGCGGCCTTCTTGGCGGCCTTGCGGGCCTTCCGCGTCTTGCGGTCCGCCTTTCCGAGATTCATGTTGGCAAAGCCGACCGCCTCGTCGAGATCCAAGTGAGCAGCGAAGTACCAGCGACGATAGTTGGCATTGTCACCGCCAATGTAGTCGGCGTGCAGAGAAAGCAAGGCCTGGTTGGGGGTCATACGAGAGGCACGCGAGTCGAGCAAAGTCAACAAGTGGTCGTACATGTTTCGCATGCTGTCCCGCTGGAAACCAAATTTGTTGACGAGATCAAGGAAGATGTCTTCGACCTCTTCCTTGGAAACCGGCACCTGGGCATCCGACGACCAAGCCGGGTAAGGTTCGCGAGAGCGCTGACCGGGCGGCAAGGCATTTCCATAGTCCATGCCATACACGGGCGTCGAGGCACCGGAGGATCGGTTGGCGCCGTAGGAGACTTGCGAGGATGGGGGGCGGTAGCTGTATCCCCGACCACCGTACTGGCTATCGGCATAGCTGTTATAGCGATCATCCCCCCGGCCGTAGTAGTCCATGTCTGCGGCGCGAGCAGTCTCGGATCTCATGGTGAAATCACTGAAGGTCTCGGACTCATCCTCGGAATCACCCCTGCGTCGACCACCGCCGTAGCTCTGATGGCCATTACCTCCGTCGTAGTACGGCTCGCCGTAGTAGCCATCCTGCTGGCCGTCGTAGTAACCAGCCTCGTGGCCATAGCCCTCAGTCGGGTAGTATCCACTGTACACCAGTCAGTATGTCCTTTCTTTTCAAGGGATGGGAGGCACATACTGTTGATCGTAGTAGCCATCGCCATAGTCATTGGGGTCATAGTACCCTTGACCGTGTTCGTCTTGGTAATAGGAATCACCATGAGGATGGCCGTAGCCATCATCATAGTGACCTCCCGGGTATCCTGACATAACGGGAAGTCGCTATAATCGAGTTCTCTTTCACGCTTTCTATTCATGGCAAGGGGAACTGGTTAGCTTCTCTGGTTGTCACCACGGCAGGTCCGGCCAGGTCATCTTACATGAACAGTCACCCATCTAACAAATTAAGTTGTCGGTATAAGAACTCTCTTCAAGAGCATTAAGATGCAAACGATTCGAACAAACGAGTATTGGGAGGCACCAGTCCTATGCTGACGATTCTAGGACTGAAACGATCATGCGTCGATGAAACAAGACGGTAGTCGAGTTTTTAGAGAATGAATGGACGGTAGGAGGGCAAAACGAAAGAATAATAAAAGGTTAAGATGATAATTAGGAAGCCACCAGACAGAGCTGCACCTGCGTAGTCTAAAGACAAGAGGCGGTAGTGGTAGATGACAACAACCTCCCTCCGGCAGTCCTTCTTTCCTCTAACGAGAGAAAAGCCAGAAAAGAAGGAAGGGGGGAGTCAAGTGTAGGAAGTTGTCTAGAAAAAAGACGTTTCAAACGACAACAACCAAAAAGGAAGAAACGAAGAAAAAAAAAAAAAAAGAGCGAAACCGGCAAAAGAAGGAAGAGGGAAGAAAAGGAAGGGAAGAGAGGGAGGGAAAGACGCGAACAGGAAAAAAGAGTGTGTGTGGTGGTGTAGCGGTCGGTGGTGGTGGTGATTATTACTAGTGGTGGTCGAGGAAAGAAGAGATGGGCCAAAGACTTGAATGGCCCAGCCTTTGCACTCGGGTTATTTTGGGAATCAGGATCTGCTCATTTTACCAGCCATACGCAACAGTACACGATACCATACACTTTACGCTTCCGGAAGGCCTTGTGGTTGGCCGGTGCCTTACAGTCCCATGCAGCAGTACCTGGTTTTTATTATTTTTACCGGTATGTACCAGATGTATACAATACAGATCCTGTATGGTACGTTGTCATTACACCACGCTCAAGCCACTCCCCTGATGGGGGCTGGTGCAAGTTCCCATAATAGCGCATGATTGGTCTATTGATGTCTCCACAGCTACAATTCAACACTTGTTCAGTTCAACGAACATACAAGTACTCTCCGTACACACAGAGTATAGAGAATAGAACCAGAGTGAGAATTGTGCCTGCATAGTTATTAAGGTATATGCAGACTCTGTAGCCTCTAGTGCTTATGTGCAAACTCCTCTAGAAAATATGAGCAATAGGATTCCATGGTATCTGGACGGCCCCTGAGACTGTCTCCACCGCCCGACAAAACACACCTACGTGTCGGTAATACCAATACACCATATTTACGTACAAGTCCATCGTTTCCGTTGTCCTCGCTTTTCATGACTGGTATGAAGGGATGGCATCACCATCGCCATTGTTCGTTGCCATCGTCTCGTCAATAATCATAATATTTACTGCACTCGTTCTCCTCACTACGGAGTATTTGCATTCGAACAGTGGCGAGTCCCTGCATGCATTGCTGGGAAGGTTCTCTATTTACTTTGTATTCGTACTTTGTACCCGAGAACCATGGGAGGAGATGGAGCCCGGACCAATATCAATACATAGATGCTGTGTATTGTAGACAACGAAGCTCTATGAAACCATGGATATAACACTAAACACAGCAATTGACTTTGGCTGTTGTTGAATGTATTCGTTCTTGCACTTTATTCTGTTCAAGCACACAAAGTATCTTTTGCCAGCCATGCCCATTGTATTCGATAATTGTTTGCGGCTGGTGAATTGCCACCTTTGCTCATGATCCCCCTTCTCGGCTATCCCTGACTGCATGGGGGTACAGTACGGATTACTGGCAACCAGTGCGGAATAGGTCACCCTGTGTCATCAAACTAGTCTTTCTATTCTAGAAAACTAAACGCCAAAGTTCTCCTACTGGTCTATTTTAATTAACCATCTGTCTGTCACGGGAGATCTCCTATTATCAGTCTCTTCTATGATACTTCTATACAGATACGGGGTATTGTATGCACATAGAGTACTTGTACAGTACAGTAACAGTACGGACGGATTAACTTGTGTTTCAGATATATCGGGTAATCGATCGTTTTCAAAAAACAAAAAAAAAAAAAGCCCACCAATCATACAAACTTATGCGCTTCTTTTTCGGCCTCGACTTTTGCCACCGTTCCTGATTTGCTTCTTTTTGCTTATTTGGGTCTGCAGGTGGATGCAGGGTGTGGTGCACAAGTACAAATCCAGTACGGGGGATACGGAATCTAATTTCAATCGGGAACTGCTGGAGTGCAAATACGGAGAAGAGCGAGTATCCATTTTATTCTAGAAGGAATCGAGGCTCCAGCTAATAGTTGTCAATAAATTGTCAAATAATTAATCAAGGCATTCCATCGTCCATACCGATTACCAGGTAAAATACTCCGTACCTAACGAAATACAAATACAAATACTGTGGTCGCACGTTCCTGTTTAGAGTTTATCAGTTTACTAGCCACATTTTGAAGCTGGATCCTTGAACCATGGTGTCGTTCACGGTAATTGTACATTCCTCAATTATTGAGTTTCTTCTTTGATCTTGTAGACCGACCATAGTCTCACATCTCATTTTTAGACCTGCCATTACTACCACTCCTCTACGGAGTATACATAGTACAGGTACTCCGTGCAAAGTCTTCTGAAAAGGATTCACTTGTACTCTGTACCGAGGAATAATCCAGAACTCGCCTCAGTACACCATTCCGAAAATAACAACACCCCCCCCCCCCCCCCCCACATCGCCTGACACTAATCTGCAACTAAAAAAATAATCAGGAGAGGCTGGATTTCTCTGGTTGGTTCCTGAGAGACCCAGTTAAGCCAATCGGATACATCCACCGGAAAGGGTGGGCTCGTCCCAAACAGTGGCAAGATGTACTTTTCTGTACCCCGTACGGACAACTCAAGTCCATACGATGTGGTTGAACGAGAGAAGAGTACTTTGTACGGAGTTCAAAGTAAAAGGGGTTTGTTGCATGATCCTACGGTAGTTCAACAGTGTGGTTGCTCTGTACGCCAGGCAACAAGGCAGCAAGAACAGTAGTATCTATCCAACAGAGTATTTTACTCGTACATTTCTATCATCATCAACTCGATACATCATCATCTAGAATGCTCAGAGTACGGACGTCAGCGATCTCCAACCATATGAGCTTGGCCTTCTAGTCAATGCTTATCCCGTCCGCGAGTACACCGTACACTCGTCCCGAGAGATTTCGGTCTCAGTAATGAAACGATCGTCAGGGCACAACTCGCGCATACTCCATAGAGACAGCAGAATACAACGCACTGGTGGCAACGTGTACATGTACTCCGTGGGAACATGATCATCCGGTGATCTGGGCGTTGATTTGTCCGCTGTCATGCATCACCGTCGAACACGGCCACACTGGACGGCACAGAGGAATATCACAACTTTTGTGTTCTGTAATCCAATCGCATCACATACGGCTTTCGGAGATGGTTTCATGTGTTGGTGGCGGATTCCGACAGAGTTCCGCGCTCGGTTAGTAGCTGATGTATGTATTTACGTATGAAGTACGGAGTACTCCATGGTAGTGATCTAATCAATCTATTCTACCTGTAAGACAATGATATCAAGGCGCAGGATATGGATCAATGAGTGGCTGGAAACGAGAAACATATATCGTAGTACAACTCCAGCAGTTTGTGTAAACGCTTTCAGTTGTCCGCTACTAGTGCAGTTGATGGGCGATATACATCGCATATTCAGGATATCTTGCTAACCTGTTCGACATATTGTGAAGCTCTTCATCCTTCCCTGGTATTTATCCACTGGGCATAGCGTGCAGTACAGAGACTCAAGACAGATATTTTACTGCTCTTTCAGCATGAATAAAATATTGAACTGAATCCTGGCAGATGAGGGTTGATAGTATGATTCACTTAAATGTGGTGTTGCGAGTGATACTCCGTGCGGTGTAGGAATGCGGCATCATATGCAACGGATATATATACTTCACCAGCGCATTCTACTAGCACTCTTCTAGAAGAAGCCACCACGTACCAATGGAGACGTCTCTGACGTGTTGAATTTCATAACTCTTAGCGCAACGACCCCAAGTCAAATCTACTCATAGGCTTTGACATACCCCAGAAAATCCAACGCGGTACTCCTTAGTACCGGCGGTTGGCTAGGTGGTACCCATCACCCCGATGAGTATAAAAATAGCATGTTTGCTATGTACTCCGTACACTGTACTCTGTACTCCGTAGCCAATCTGACTCGGGGTCATGTCCAGTGTGTCCTTCTTCTGGTACCGCATAGGATGTGGAAGGATCTGATATTAATAGCATCGGTTGTCTCAACAGAGCACTCGTACTACGTACTCTTTTCCGTCCTATCCATCAAACATCTCCAGACAATCGACTGGATTACGTGACAGTAGCCTAGAAAAAGGATGAGCAGTTGTGGCAGAGAGCCTATTAGCATTCACATCGACCTTAAATAGGAGATTTTGATCTTCTTATATTCCGTTCCGCCCCATGCAGTATTCGGCGTAAGATATTGAATTCGACCGTCGGGGGCTGTGAGCTTATATATCCTGACATCGAAATACTCCAGAGTATACCCAGCCGAGCCTGATAATCATCAACACCATACCAAGGTCTTTATGTATCTGACTGGTCAATCAATACCACGCAGACTCCCATTGACAGCGCTGCCAAGACGTCCACTGAGTACTCAGAGTACTAGTACTCCTCTGTGACCCTTGTTTCAGGAGTGGAACGAGATTGCGCGTTATTCCGGTTGGTGATATCACGGGGCGGCTCCCATGGGAAGCGGCAGTTCCTAAACGAATCAAAAGCCGCTACTCTGCGGATCGTCGGCCTGGATCGTTGTCTTTTCTCCTGAATAGGAAGCCCTTGGCAGGATTAGTGACTCCACTAAGCCCGGTGGATTCGGCGGGCTGTGTTGACCCGAGAAACCCTGAGTCAGCAGCCAATAGAAACTCTCAATTGTCTCAGGGACATGCTCC